GGTTTTCCACCCTGGTGACCTTATCAAATCCCAGTCACCTCCTCAAGGCCCCACTTCTAGACACATTGTTAGAGTAACTTTGTACCCTCTTAAGACTGCAAAATGGGAGTGTAGTTCTAACTCATGAGAACTTGGAGTGAGAGACTGTAAAGCAGTATGTAAAACATAGCTGTTCTCTTTGAACTTTAGTGATCAATACATCTTCCAAATACTTCATGGCAGTGTATGTTATGTAAATTTTAAAATAGGAGTAACATTATAGAGAAACAGCATAATTTATTAAATCAAGCTGTGATGATGGACATTTACATTTTGTCTGTTATATTTACTATTACAAACAATGTTTTCATGAACGCTGATACTAAAATGTAATTTCTGGGCTGGGGCCATAGTACGATGGTAAAGTGCTTGTCTAGCATGCACAATGCTCTGGGTTTGAACCTCAGCCATGTCAAGGAAAAAATATTGCTCACTTTTACTGTGATACTGTGTCAAAAATAATTATATTTTTAACATACATTCATCTCTCGGTATCTGTGATGGATTGGTTCCATGATACCAAAATCCACAGCTGTTGGAGTTTCTTGCATAAAATGCTATAATATTTGCATAGAACTCACATACATTCTCTGTGTACTTTAAGTCACCGTTTGATTATTTATACCTAGAAGAGTGTGGGTGCTCCATAACTAGTTCTTACACTGTTTTGTTTAGGGACTAGTGACCCAAAAATGTCTACACATAGTCAGTAAGGATGAATGTATCAAATCCACCGTTTCTGAAATCCAGGGGTTTTCAGATGTGGAACCCACTTGTACATACAGAGGGCTATTGTATGTCGTTAACCTCTCCTGCTACCCCATGTTTGTACCCACTTATTCTCCCACAACCCACACCTGAATAAACGTCAGGCATGAATTTGCATGTTTTTCCAAGACCCACCCAGCAGAGTGTAAGCCCAAACACAGCCTTTGGCGGAGCCAATGGACAAAATGCCAGTATCCTGCAGGAAATCTGATTTTCATCTGTAAGAATGAAATGTATGGCAGGGAAGAAACACCAAGTCAGAGCTCTCAGCTGCTGTGGTCCCTGCAGCAGCCTGGGTGGCATGTCTGACTTAGTTGAAGGCATTTCTTCTCCCAGGACACTAGCTAGAAAGCTATCATTCATTGTTAAGTGTTCAGATGTCCGTCTTGGGGACAGAGCACCCAGGAACAGTGCAAAGCATAGCTTGCCCCTGCAGCAGCCACTGTGGGGCCTTGACTGCTTTGAGTCCAGAGATGGCCAGTAGCCGCAGATGAATTAATATGGAGCAGAAGCAGATGGGGGTAGGATCTAAGATGTTTGACGGTAGAGCAGGGAGGGCATTTGCTTGAGGAACAGCCAGGATAAATGGAAACTTCATTATCCGTGGATCACACACTTGGAACGCAGGTCGGTCGCAGACGACTCTGATGTTAGTAATTTGGCCAGCAGGCTCATTAAGCTCTTAAGAAAAGTGGGCCTAGTTAATGAATTAATGCAAGATGACATTTTACACACAGAGCAGAAACGAGCACAGGCAGCTCTGAGTTATGTGGCATCATAACTCCCTGAGTGGATGTGATCGCTGCTTCTCGGCTGCCAAAGTGGCAGTGCTGGGGAGAGCCAGCTTTCCGAGACAACAGTGAGATCCTTCAGAGAGGAAAGCCCTTGCTCTCCCCTCATTAAAGAGCTTCCTCTTGTAATTATAATGCTGCCAATGGTCACGCAGATGTCAGAGTTTCACAGTCTCTGGACACATTTATTTTCCTTGTGAAAATCTGCCCCTCCCTAGCCCACTCCCCAGCAGGGGTTCTTGACCACTTGTCAGAGATGGCTGTTGAGGATATCAAGAATGCATATGCATGAGCTGAAGGATCCTGGAGATGGACAGCAGTGATATTTGCCCAACAACCTAAATTCTCTTAGTGCTACTGAACTGTATACTTAAAATGCTGTTTGTGGTAGGCACATTTCATCATGGCCATTTTAAAGCAATATTTCTTTTTAAAGAACTAGCATTGCTGAGTGCAAACTCTTGTCTCGGGCACGATGCTCAACACTCACATGTGTATTGCCTCTTCCTGATGACCTGGGGAGGGATGCTCTTAACTTTCTCAGCCCTGCTATTTCTTAAGGCTTATGAAAGTCAAATCACTTTGCCTGGACTCAAGCACCTGGAAGTGATGGCTCCAGGACCCAGAGCTCTGTAAGCTCTCATGTCTCTGTAGGAAATAAGCCAGAGAATTTTAGCCCTGAATTCTGACCCTCCCCCTCCCTACTTACCCCCTTGGCCCCACTATGCTTTTAGTTACCTAAGCTAAGAGCTGAGTGGCAGTCATTTGACTCCAGGAAAGTCCAAGTCCCCTTCCTTTCCTTAACTGTACAGATACACATGTCCACCTCTCAAAGGGCTCGAATTTGCTTCCTTCTGTACAGTTCAGATGTGCAGGGTACAGTAGAATGACGACTGCCAGGAACCTGGAGAACCCCCTAAGCTTTGAGTCCAAGTTTGGTTATGACTAGAGAGAACAGTTAACAGAGAGAAGGGACCTGATGGGGAAGGTCTTCATTTGTCTCAGATTGGGATGATTTATTTTCCAAATCAAGAATGCAGAGATCATGCGTTCTACATCATGCAGGATGAAGAAAAATATCCAGTGACCAGGCTCCTTTTGTAACCATAGAAAGGCTAATCGACCTCTCTGAGTTAAAAACAGAAATAATAATATCACCTACTGTTTAGCATAGAGTGTGAATAAACAGATTTTGTTGTTGTGTTCTATGCATTTATTGAGTACTACTGCCTGCCAGGTCTCATCTTCCACCCTGGGACTGTAGCCATAACCAAAGCAAACACACCAGTCCTATTGAAGAAGGGAGTAAATAATTTAGTTCCATCTCTGTGCTACTTCAGGTTAAAGACTGATGGTCTGTCTGGGATCCACAGAAACCTCGTCCTGAGTCACAGATTGAAGAAGCACAGGGCTGTGGTCCCAAACTTACCTTCTGGGACTGAAACTAAAATATTTCTCCAACTGGGCACAACAGTGGGTTGATGTAGTTCTTTGGACCAACAAGGAGTCCCCAGGTTTCTGGAAGAGACTCTTCTGGTTGCCTGGACTTCCTGTGGTGGTCAGCTGTGCCCTGCTGGCTGGGAATAGGTCACCTTAGACACTGACATGTGACTTGAGAGGAAGGTATTGGTAGTCAGCAGATATGGTGACCCAGACCTTCACCCTGAGACCTGAGGAAATGCCTACATATCTAGTGAATCTTGAGGCTCAGAGCAGTGTCACATCCTAGCTTAAGTCAATCAGACTCCTTCCTCCAACCTCAGTGATCTTAGTCAGGGGACCCAACCTTGCCAGGATGCACTGTGCTCATCTTAAAAACACTGTCTTGGCTCACTTGATAGAATGCTTGCCTAGCATGCAGAAAGTCTGGGATTCCACCTCCATACTGCATACACGGGGAATAGTGACACATGCCTGTAATCCAGTACTTAATGGAGGAGAAGCAGGAGAATTAGAAATCAAAGCCATCCTAGGCCATAGTGAGTTTCAGGCCCGCTTGAAATATGTGAGACCCTAAGTGTAAAAAAAAAAAAGAAAAGCAAAACTAAAACTTCAATATTAAATACTGTGTGTATCAAATACACATGAGAATGTAGCACAGGCTACTGTTGTTCTAGATCTGTGACAGTTGCTATCTATGTCATACTTCAGAAGCCCAAAGAACATCTAGCCCATTTTGTAGGCTAGCATGTTCCAAAGAGCAAATATGCAGAAAGTAGGTTGAAGAACAGGTGGGACATGTCTTGACTCCAGAGTCAGGTGCTGTGTCTGTAAAGATGAACCCAGGGCCTGGCACAAAATAGATGCTCTGCAGATATTTGGGGTCCTGCATGTGTGTACCTGCCGCCCTAGTTTGTGCTTTACTGTTTTCAATGAAGAACTGGTTTCTGGAACCCCAAGAACTCTCTCACTCATGACCCCTGGATATTATATTTCCCACACCTAAGTTTTTAACTTTCTTGAGGTCTTATCTATAGAACATAAGATTCACTCACATTAACTGTACAATTCAATTATTTTTAGTTAACTGCCCAACATGTGTCATCATCATCATAGTCTCGTTTGAGAGCATTGTCACATGACCCAGAGAGACCCCTCATGCCCGCTTGAGTGAATCCAGGTGCTCTTTCTGTGAATTAGGCCTTCTTACATCACATAGACAGTCAACAGCATGAACATAGCCGGTCTTTGTTACTTTGTGGGTTTGTCCTTTTCTCACCCTTTATCCCTGTCCCCCTTTATCCTCCTAACACTAGATAGGAGAGAAAGAAGGATGGGACAGAGAATATGTGAGAGATCCCTGAGTCTAGTTTCTTCTTTGAGCACGACTGACTTCTAATAAACCACAACCAACACCCCTGAAAAACCAACAAATGCCCACCCCACCTCTCCGGGGCCTAGCATATATGTACCTGCTGAAAAGTACCCAGAATTCCAAACATCACACAATTTCAGAAACTATGTGCAGCTGACAAAGCCAAGCCTCTGCTAGAGCACGAGGCAAATCACAGTCAGCAGCTACGATTAGTCTGAAGCGGCCCCATATCCCACACCTGCGATTAAAATGAAAGCACATTCTTATAATTTAAAGAAATGTTTTTAAAAAAAACCAAATTTTTCAGTTATCACTACAGGCTTATTTGTGTGTGGGGGGGTACAATTCACACTCATAGGCATGTATCAGTATTTACATTTGGGTCTGGTAAGAGTTCAGTGTGTGGATATACCACATGCTGACTATCCATTCAATAGATGATAGACATTCAGAAGTCGCCCCTTCTGGTAGCTGTGAATAGTCCTGCTATGCTAATTGACAAGTCAGTTCTGGGCTTGGTTTTCAAAACCTTAGGAAAGTCCACTTGTAACATTCTCTCTTCATCTCTTTTCTCCTGGTTTTCTCAGAACCAGGCAGTGGGCAGGTGTTTGTGACCTCAGAAAACCAGCTCGTGTACTACCCCAGTATCACATACGCCATCATCGGCAGCTCTGTCATCTTCGTGCTGGTGGTGGCCCTACTGGCACTCGTCCTCCATCATCAGCGAAAACGGAACAACCTTATGACTCTTCCTGTGCACCGACTACAGCATCCTGTACTGCTCTCTCGCCTGGTGGTCCTGGACCACCCCCACCACTGCAGCGTCACCTACAATGTCAATAACGGTGTTCAGTATGTGGCTACCCAGGCCGAACAGAATGCCTCAGAAGTAGGCTCTCCACCCTCCTATTCAGAGGCCCTGCTGGACCAAAGGTGAGAGGCTGTAGAGGAGGGCATCTGACATGGGAGGGACAAGTGTGCACACACTGGGCTACTGAAGTCTCACCAAGACTTTGTACTCCGTAGCTGTAGGCAGTAACAGTGATTGACAGTTACCAGTTCATTATAGAATGTTCCATATCATCTTATCTTCTGGATACATCTATGAGGGAAGTAACTAAGGAGCTATGGTTTTAAATCACTTATCCAAGGACCTAGAGAAAGGATCCCTGCATCCACTTGGTTAAGCCACAGTGTTACAGCTATTGACCATCTCTGGGCCTTGTCTGCTCCTACAGAAAAGTATCATGAGAGGTTTGGTAAATTTGTTGACTGAGAATAAGTAAGTCTCTTACCTTGCTTGGCTTCATTTATAAGGTAAAGGGGATGGCATAGAGAACCACCAAGCTTTTATGAAGTATCTGAATGCTCATTATTTGTGAACCCCAAATATAGAAGGCCAAGCATTCTGTAGTCAAAGTGGAGGGCTTAAATCATGCCTGTTCAGGTATGAGTGTTTGAAAGAGAGAGGTGGGGAGGGAGAGAGGGAGAGATTGGAGATTGAGATCAAGGCCTCAGATATGCTAAGCACATGCTTTATCATTGTTTACGCCAGATAACCCTCTTGCAATTCCCTGCTCTTCAGCTAGCTATTGGAGTCTCCTTAGACTGTAACATTCTGTGTCCTGCCTTCAGGTCCCCTGCTCAGAGTCCCCTCTTCCCCAGAGCCCAGGACTCATCCATGTGTCACATCAAGCATTTTGTAGATGTGCCTCCAGGATGGCCAGGTTTCTCCATGTACCCTTCCAGTGACAGCTCCTGTATGACTTTGTCTTTATTTTCCCTCCTCATCAAAAGCAAACAATACTTCCAAAACATGGAGGGAGGCTGTGCTGCTTTAGGATCTCTGCAGATGAGAAAGCTGGATCTCACTCACCTAATGAGCATCCTTTGCATTTGGTCCAGCCCGCGTAGAGTAAGGATAAAACTGATGAATCTGGAGACAGAATGCCAGGGTTCCAGTTCCCCACATTGCTGCTTACTAATCTGTGATCATGGGCCTCTGATTCCTCACCAGGACAGTGGACATGGAAGTGATGCCTACTTCCATGGGTCATTGTGAGCAATAAAGGTAACAGAGCAGAGGTACACAGAGGCACACTGACTCACAGCAGTGGGCAAAGAGAGTGGAAAACAGAAGGTCTTTTCTGTTACATAATTTTGTTGCAAGCAAGGTACAGAGAAGGGGATAGGGCATTGAGAGAGTGACCTCATCCAAGGCCTCAGGAAGAGTGAGATTTAGTAAGAATCCAGAATCCCCTTCTTATCAAAGACTCAGTCACAATTCCAACCTTGACTCTTGGTCATAAGTTATTTAGCCCAGAACATGCAAGGTAATCGGAGGGTGTTGTTTATCAACCTCGTTCCTGCCTGCCTAGAGGATAGACACGGTACTGACATTGCAGTTGGACAGGAGCAGCCAGAGAACACTGGCCTTACTGTTCAGTCATGTTTCAGACCACTGGGTTTGCTGGTCTTAGAACTGCCATTGTTCTTGGCAGTAGACCTGTATTCTTCTCATAGGCATCTGCTCAGAAACAGGCTGCTGTTAAAGCTGGGTCTGCATCACCTGCCTTGTCTTGACTCTAATGTGTTTTCTCTGCTGCCTTCCTGCCTTCTCCATTACAGACCTGCATGGTATGACCTTCCTCCACCACCCTATTCATCCGACACCGAGTCTCTGAACCAAGCTGACCTGCCTCCTTACCGCTCACGATCAGGAAGCGCCTACAGTGCCAGCTCCCAGGCAGCCAGCAGCCTCCTGAGTGTGGAAGACAGCAGCCACAACCCAGAGCAGCCTGGCCCTCCAGAGGGCACTGCTGAGCCCAGAGACTCTGTGCCCAACCGGGGCACTGAAGAAGTATGAAATCCAGCAATTCCAAAGTCCATATGGGTAGATCTTCTCCGACTTGTTGAATTCTAACAGACTGTGCTCATGGGACGCTCTTTGATCTCCTTTTGAAGATGTCTTTAGTTGAAATTTTGAGGTGCTGACTGCACTTTCTCCTCAGATTTCAGGGATGTTGTCCTCTGGCCACTTAGTTAACTGGATGCATTGCTGTCTTCTCTGCACAGTTGCTGTTTGTTCCTTTGGGGCCTGTGATTAACAGACTCACGATTCAGATGACTGTGCTGTTGTTGGTCCATCCCAGTAGTCTTGTGCCTGGGCAGGCATGAGTGAAGCCATGTGTAAATAGTCTGTGGCAGGGTTCTTAGGGCCATGACAAACATTCAAGAGGTCAGAAGACATCAGGCCAGAGTCTCTACTGAGCTGCCACCTTATAAATACATTTGGAGACTTAGCTTGAAGGATTCTTACAAAAGGCCATTATTGGATGGCCACTCCAAAAAGTGTCCAGGAGAGCATCAAGTCCCACCGTGTACTCTCCTATGCATCGATCTTACTTCAGCAGAGGCCAAAGAAATATTCTGACATGAGCAACAGCTTTCAACTCTCAAAACTCTAGTTTGGTTTTGTGAAAGACTCAGAAACCTCCATCCTGGCCTTATAAATTTGCCTAAGAGTCCTCATTTATTTTGAGAGCTTTCTGGAAGTAAGATCCTCAGCATCACCCTTGAAGAAGTAGGAAACCCCTGCCATGAGTTCTTAGCTCCCAATGTGTAGGTTACCAGAGTCTGGTCCTGCCTTGGCCCCATAGTCCTTTTCCTGCCTTCTGGATTGTCCCCTTCCAAGATGACCCACCATAGCTAAGGATGAGGACCTAAATTAAGTTGGCCAAAATTCTGATCTAACCCTTTTCCTAAGAGAACAGGCCCAGCCTGACATGTTCTTCCATGCAGCTTCCTTGATAGCTCCTAAGTTCTGTGAACACCTGGGAGCCTGTTTTCCATGTGCATTTGGATGTAAGGACACAAGTTTTTTCTAACTTACATGAGAACCACATTCAATACCACCCATGAGAACTCTCAGGTCCCTGTACCACACACACACAAACCCCAGGAACAGTGCACCAAGTCAGGGTTACGTTAGAGTGAGGGTCAGGCCCAGCCAGACATCCTGGCAGTTTCTCTTGAGAGAAGTGGGCAATAGATAACTTGGAGTCAAGAGTTCCCATTGGATTTTTTTTTTTTTTAAAGTCTCTTAGAAATGCATTTGAAACAGTGTGTTTGTTTTTTCCCTTCTAGTTAAGGGACTATTTATATGTGTATAGGAAAGCTATCTCTTTGATTTTCTTGTTTCTCTTTTAATGAGGTCCAAAGAAAGATGCAAAAAAAAAAAAAATGCTGCCTTTCCCCAACCCCATCCCATAATGTCACCTCAGACTCACATACACGCCAAGTATCTACACTGGGGCATCGTGGAGTCATTATTTATTGAGTTACTGAAACATGCAGAGACAAGTCATCCATCCATTGTCTGTATGTTTGGATTACTTTTCTTCTTTCTCAATGTCTAGCCAGCCCTAGTGCATGCTACCACCATGCACCCCTGCCAACCAGGCAATCATGGGTAAACCATACTAACTAGGGACAAAACTGGAACCAGATGGTGCCACCTCAGGCAGCTGCCACCCATTCAAAGCATTTTTTCACAGCTAACGAAAGTTTCAGTAACCTGTTTGATGCTAATTAAAAGGGAGCCTGCAGGGAGCAGGGATGAAGTGGCCTTCAATGACGCTGTACTGACTTCCTTTTCAACCAAATCCAAACTAGACTGCAGGAAAGATAGCTAGCCACTTGGGGTTTTGTTTGGTTTTGGTTTTGTGTAAATAAGCCTAGATGTTTGTTTCTTTCATTTTTAAAATAGAAACTGAGTTGGGGTTTGTGTGTGTGTGTGTGTGTGTGTGTGTGTGTGTGTGTGTGTGTGTGTGTGTG